TGATCAAGAACACGGCTGCATTGATGTGTGTATTCAATAAAATTGCATTTAGGAAAAGGCATGAATTCTCTCCAGTCTCTCAGCCAGCCAGTCAATTCCTTCCAGATCTTTCGAGCTAGCTGCTGAATATTGCTTTACATGGAATATATCCCTTGTTCTTTAAAAAAAACCGCCAAACCCAACTTTTTTTTTGCTTTCTGTAAAAATTACACTTGGACTGAGCCTTTGGATGCTGTTAAATGCTGGATGTATTTAAACAGATCTGCATATATAAACTGAAGATTGTGACACGAGCAGAAGTTCATGCTGCCTTCCCCAATTAATCAGAGAATTTCCAGCACAGTAATGAGAGATTTTATATTTCCTATGAGGGAAGAGCTGATTTTCTAGACTTGCAAGTCCAGAAACAACAGCACAACAACATTAGAAAATTGATATTTGTCCCTGTTTCTCTTTGATCTGCTAATTGTTCTCAAGTCACCATTCTGCAAGAGTAAAGATAGTGTTGTATTTCAGCTTTTAATAATCAAATGAGGAACATTAATAGGTTATTAATTTGTCTTGGCAGGCCAAAGTGTAATTCTTCTGAGCAAACAGATCATCTCATCAACTTTCAGCTTTTGTCTTTTGGATCCAGGTCTCACAGACACTTCTCAGATTATTTATTATATTTTTTCTATATTATATTCAGATTCTATATTATATTTATTTATAGGCCTTTGTGCAAATGGGAGTTTAGTGTGCTGCTGTGTACTTTTAATTTCTAGATATGCTTTTGATCAGGAAAACCATTGAATACTTTGTCAGTGAGAGAGAGAGGATCTCACCCCTCTTGCAGCAGTGCTGAAGCCAGGAGTGATCATTGCATTCCCACCAACTGATTTCCTCCTTTTTCACCCAAAAACCCAAAACCAACAGTGCACTTTCCTACTAGAAGGGCTGTTTTGCATCCCCTCCTGTGCCAGGGAGTGCCCCAGTGGGAGCTGCTGTGTCTGTGCCAGGCAGAGCTGGCAGCACCTGCCCTGCCCTGCCCTGACCCCCCTTTCACAGCCAGGCTTTGCTGCTCCAGCCAGCTGCTGCATTTTCCCCTGGGAATTCTCATGGAGCAGCAACAAGCTCATCCTTTGGGCAGGGATTCTTCAGGAGACATTAAAAAGGCAGAGTAGTTTCCAGTAAGTTGCAAAAATCTGTTAAAATAGAGAAAAAAGGAGAAGAGAATAAATGAGTGTAAGTGGTAGAGAGAGCTATGAAAAATTGGAAATTACAGATTTTAAACTTAGGAATTCCTTCTGGGATGGATCACACCCGACAGAGTTATTGCTCCTGCAGTTCTCCTGTGAGAGTTGTCCTGGCTCCACCATTCCTGCACTAAAGGCAACCCCTTGGGCTTTCCCTTCATTCATTCTATAGTCATTTTTTCAATAATGATAATATTTTCACTGTTTTTGTCCAGTGCAGAGGGGAAGGAACAAATATTTTTATAAATAATGGTAATATTTTCAGTATCTCTGTCCAACAGTGGAGGGGAAGGGACAGATGTTTACATAACATGGCAGCAATGTTTGTGCTTTTAATGGAAACCAAACCTGCCATTTGTTGACACGGATGGAAAGATTCATTTTAATTTCAGTGAACCTTATTGCCCACAATATGCGACATCTCTTCTGTAATGTTTGCTCTGAGTTACTATCTAAATCAGATTTAGAGATATTTTTAAGGCTTTGCTTTGTTTTCTGTTTCAATTATTCCTTTTTTCCTAATTATGCATTTCTAAAAATAAACATTTTCAAGCTGACTGGTTCTTCTTTTCCTGCTCTTTCTCCCTAAAATTTTCTAACTCCTTTTTCTTCACGTTTCCTTGAGTTTGACTTTAGATGCTCTATTTGCAAAATAAGTTTGCAGTCAACATATCAGAATTGCTTCCTTTTCTCTGCTCTTTGAATATGGAGATAAAGTTTTCCTAGGCCATGTGGATTCAATATGATTTTTTTAAACTTAAAAATGGAAAGAGAGACTATGGAAAAGACCTTTGAGATCATGGCATCCAACCATACAGCAGGAAAATGTCAGAGTTTTCAGGTGGATGTGGTTTATGGGGTGCTTTCCCTGATTTCCCTCATTTTCTGAGCACAAGGGTTTATACAGCTTTTAATGCAATGTTCAGCCAGAGCTGACTCAGTCAGCACTTGGGCTGATGGATAACTCCTTTTTTCTTGTCCTCTCAAATAACACTGAGAGATTAGTAAATGTCTTCAACCTTCATTGATTTTCTGTTAAAGTGAATTAACTCCTTGAGCCCATCTGGGTTGGAGAAATAAAAATTTTCCAACCCCCAGCTGTAATTTTCTCATCATGGGATTTAAAGTAAAACAACCATGTTTAAACAATTTTTCTTCAATCACTTTATTGTACTCTGAAAGAGGTGTTGGTTAGTTACAAAATGCACACAAATAAAATAAGAATGTGCAGCAAGAGAGCTGCAAATTTCTGTGTTTCTTGCCTGGCACTGATGTTGTGTATCTTGGGGCCAGTGGGTTAATTTTATTTACCTACATCTAAGCAGAGCTAAAACCATTTCTTTCTTCAGTTATGAATCTGAACTGCCTTAATAGTTATCTGTAAACAGAAATGATGTTGAAGGAAAATGCATAAAGAGCGCTAATGAGACCTGAGAGGCTTGAGGAAATAAATATTTCATTTGGTTTGGGTGAGTCAACATGAGCTCGTTCTGTACCCTTTCTAATTTCATCTTGGATATTTTCATGTAAAAACAATTGGAGCCCTGAAAATAAAGAAGATTTTCCCGATGCTGAATTCCTGCTTTGGAATGTTTCACATTTCAGTGCTTGGCTCACAGAGAGACAGAAAAGCAGAGAGCAATGGGCAAATCTCTCTTTTTTGGTGTATTTATTAAGTGCTGTCATTCTGTGAGACAGCCTGGCCCTTTAATGATATATTTCTATATTCTCTTGTCAACTGCCACACTGTTTGCACCAGTAAGTAAATGCCTTGTAAAGGTGCCCTGGGGAGCTATTACAGAGCAGCACAAATAATACAGATTTGATATTTTGCTCTGCTGTCATACATTCTCCCTGGCACAAAGGCGGGTTTAATACATCTGACTGCACACTTCTCACAGCGTGGCACATTCACTTGGGTTTTCCTAAATCTCTCTTAATGCTACAAATGCTCGTTGGGGCAGCTGAACCTAAATGTTTTAATTAATTTGCTTTTGTTGAAAATAATTTAATATCTAGTAGCACTTTTGTGACTTTTTTTCTGAGTTTGGGGGCAAAATCCACTAAAAGCAAATCTGGGAGGTGTGGGGTTTGGAGTTTTTGCTCTAAAATGATTTTAAGAATTGTTCTTGAGCAAGAGGGAACAGAAATGTGCAACAGCTTGGCGTTTAAAGTGTTAAATAATAAACAGAATTTGCAGTGACTCAGCCAATTGAACTGAACTATACTTATGTAAAATCATTCATGAGATCATTAAAAATAATGAACGGATGCAAAGAAGTTGTTTCCTATTTGCAGACCATTCTAGAATAGAGAAAAGGTTTAGGTATTAGTTACAGACTGCTGATTTGAGCTTTAAAAATCTCCCAAACTGCTTCATGCTTTTGAATTACACCATAAAATATGACATTTTTATCACTGAACCAGCTTTGTATGGGACATAGGTGTAAGTGAATACAAAGCTGTGCACTTGGCTTGGTAAATGAGCTTTATCTATAACATAACTCAGGACTATCAGTTTGCAGAGCACATAATTGGATCATGTTGAAAGAAGAGTTAATTAAATGGAACTGCATGTATCCCCTTGTATTTACTGAGTGAGGACAAACATTTTGGTTTGTTCCATTCTCACCACACTCCTTTTGTCCCAGCTGAGCTGTGTTTATTGGGGACACCCAGCACACCCATTCAAGGTGGCAGAACTCTTTTTCTCAGTTGCTCTGCAAACTCAAAATCTATTTGATGATGGCTGTGTGCAGAAATTCCATTTCAAAGCTCTGTCATAAATGCCCAGGTAGGTTATTTCTGTGCTTTCTGGATCTCTGTAATTTTATGGATTTTGGATTTACCTGCATCACTTCAGGGCAAATAACTGAGAATGAGCGTTTTACTTTCCTTGGTAGATGGAGTTATTGACGGTGCATTTTGCAGGTCTCTAGAAAATCATGTGCACATCAGATTTCTGTTGAATCTGACAGTCCTTGAGGGACCTCATGTAGCTTTCTGCAGCAGATCCCTGTGTTCAACTCATTGTTCTGGCTGGAAATTCAAGGCTTTGTGTGGTTCAGAAACAGATTTGGAAGAAGAAAAATCTTTCGGCGTTGTTAATCAGTTTCTTCTCCAGTCTGAGAAACAAAATAATATTATTCTCTCCCTATCAAGTTTCAGGGTGAAATGGAACGATTCCTTGTGCATGGGTAAATTGTATTCTTACTTGGAGGCATTGTAACAAAACCATTCGTGTGTTCTTTGGATTCAGAAATCTGGATAATGTGGGGTGAGAACTGGTAATGGGGGTAGCAGAGTCAGTGTGGGTGGGTACTGAGCCTGAAAAACTCTTCCTGGTCAGGGACAGCCAGACTCTGTGACCTTGAAGAGTCCTGGAAGAGTTACAGGAAGAATTTGTTCCTAATCATAAGATAAACTTATATTTAGGTCTTTGTGACATCACGAGAAAAAGGTTTTTTATAATGTCACTCTCTGTGCTGCTTTGTCCTTCCCTTTCTCCATGAAGGTTTTGAATTACTATTAAAATGTTCAAAAATGTTGAAAATAATATCAGTGATACAAATTTCTCTCTTTAGCAGCATGTGCTGAGTTATGTAAGTTAAATTTTAATTTTCATTGCATGCTCTCCATAACAGCCCCAAACAAGGAATCATGTTTGCACTCCTAAGAAATTTCTGTGTTTCTGAGCTTCAGAACTGTTTCATTGGGTTTTTCTCCTCTCTCTGAATCTGTGCTGTTGGCTTTTCTAACCAGGCCTCGATGATTGCCTCCAACAATACATCAAAAACTTTGAGAGAGAGAAGATCAACGGGGAGCAGCTGCTGCACATCACTCACCAGGAGCTGGAGGAGCTGGGGGTGACTCGCATTGGCCACCAGGAGCTGATCCTGGAAGCTGTGGATCTGCTCTGTGCATTGGTAAGAGACTTCTTGCATTGCTCACCTTGATCAGCTGTGCTTATAAATTTACAAACCAAAAACTGAAAAACTAAACCAAACCAAACTAAAAATAATGTAGAGATTGCTCTACAGCCACACGCTCAAACAGCCTTTGCTTCAGTAAAGGACAGACATGTCCTGGTTTCTCTCAGCTGCACAGAAACTACATTTATCCATTTAATGATTATGTCTGATGGTCTTTGATTGCTTTTCCTCTGACTTTCTTGGTCCTGCATTCAAATGCTGCTGACTATCACTCCTGGCATCCATATGGTTCTGTAATTATGTGCCATATGCCCTCGTATTTCACTGACATTTGCCACACTGCACTGAACCAAGTAGACCTGAGTGGTTTAACCATGCCAGCGTTCAGAGGGATGGTACCACACAGCCAGAAGGGAATGCTAATTAGACTGGAAGATTCTTTAAAATGAGCTTTAAGATGAGACTGGAGTGGTAAAATTGACTTTATCTAAACTACAGACACGTGTGTTGACTAAAAGTTGGGTTTGGGTTTTTTCAGCAACCTGTAAGCTCTTGGAAGGAAATTATTTGTTCATATTAATAATTACTAGGTTACTAATTCAGTTAACCTTTTAGCAAAGTATTTGATATCAAAAAGTTGTTTTGTCCTCTGCTATTTTATTCCTACCAGCTAATAAAATGTGATGTATTAACTTACTTCTAAAGAAAAAATAACTTCTGTTCATGTAGGTGGACAGATGAAAGAATATTGAAAATATTAAAACATAAAACAATACAACTATATAGGCACGTGAAAATCATAGTATTGTACTTCTTTATCAGCAGTTCTGCTTTTGAATAATTGGGTTATCCTGTGGGAATTTGATAAAGAGAAATTGTTTCCAAGAGGGAAACTGGCACTTAGAAGTAAGATAGAAAAAATGTGAGGTAAAATGCACTTGATCGGGGGAAAAAAAATATTTAAGTACCTTTAATTCATCTTCTTTCCTGTACCTTGAATGACAAAATACCCTTGGTATGCCTTGAGTTCTGCCCCTCCAAATGAAACAGCTTTGTCAGAGCAGGGGAAGGCTTTAGGGGCAGGTGTGTGCTGCAGGAGCAGAGAAATGCTTTATGGGCATGGAGATGCTTTAGGGGCAGGTGTGTGCTTTAGGGGCAGGTGTGTGCTTTATGGGCAGGGAGATGCTTTAGGGGCAGGTGTGTGCTGTAGGGGCAGGTGTGTGCTGCAGGGGCAGGTGTGTGCTTTAGGGGCAGGTGTGTGCTGTAGGGGCAGGTGTGTGCTGCAGGGGCAGGGAGATGCTGTAGGGGCAGGTGTGTGCTTTAGGGGCAGGGAGATGCTGCAGGGGCAGGTGTGTGCTGTAGGGGCAGGTGTGTGCTGTAGGGGCAGGTGTGTGCTGCAGGGGCAGGTGTGTGCTGTAGGGGCAGGGAGATGCTGTAGGGGCAGGTGTGTGCTTTAGGGGCAGGGAGATGCTTTAGGGGCAGGTGTGTGCTGCAGGAGTAGGGAGATGCTTTAGGGGCAGGGAGATGCTTTAGGGGCAGGTGTGTGCTGCAGGAGTAGGGAGATGCTTTAGGGGCAGGGAGATGCTTTAGGGGCAGGTGTGTGCTGCAGGGGCCGGGAGATGCTGTAGGGGCAGGTGTGTGCTGCAGGAGTAGGGAGATGCTTTAGGGGCAGGTGTGTGCTGCAGGACTAGGGAGATGCTTTAGGGGCAGGTGTGTGCTGCAGGGGCCGGGAGATGCTTTAGGGGCAGGTGTGTGCTGCAGGGGCAGGGAGATGCTTTAGGGGCAGGTGTGTGCTTTAGGGGCAGGGAGATGCTGTAGGGGCAGGTGTGTGCTTTAGGGGCAGGGAGATGCTTTAGGGGCAGGTGTGTGCTGCAGGGGCCGGGAGATGCTTTAGGGGCAGGTGTGTGCTGCAGGGGCAGGGAGATGCTGTAGGGGCAGGTGTGTGCTGCAGGGGCAGGTGTGTGCTGCAGGGGCAGGGAGATGCTTTAGGGGCAGGTGTGTGCTGCAGACCCCAGCAGCCAGGGCCTTTTGGGAAACCCCTGACCCCAAACCTGGGGAGCTTTTCCCTGGACAAGGTGTCCCACAGCCAGGAGCCAGCACAGCCCCTGTGTCACTCTGTGTCACCCCAGCAGAGCCCTCTGTGCCCTGACACAGCAGCCCCCTCTGGGAAAACCTCTCCCTTCAGCCCAGTGTGTCCCCGAGGAGGGCCCTGCTGACTCTTTTATTGTGAATTTTTTCCTTTTTTGAGCACAGAAAATGTTCCTCTTGCTGCTGGTCAATGGTGCAGCTCTCGCTGTGCTGCCTCATGACCTTACTTTTCCTTTTGAGGCAGGATGGGGATTTTCCAGCTCCTGGTATCATTTATTTTGCCTCCTGCCTTTCTGCCCTTTCTCTTCCTTTCTCACTCTGGCTCTAAAATGCCTTTTTCTTTTTTTTTCCCTGCTTCTAAATGTTTCTCTCCCTGCCTGTTCCATGTGCTTTTCTGCTGCCTGCAGCTCTGCTCCTGGGGGTGTTCTCCTGCCTCTGACATTTCTCCTTGGCTCTCTGCACATCATCTCCTTCAATTCTTGCAGGATCACAGAAAAGTTTTACCAGACTCAGTAGAAAATCTATTTTAAATCTGTACTCATTTATTAGGATTTGGATCCATGTAATCAAAAAGCATTATTAAGAATCTCATTTTAATTATTTTAAATAATGGCAATAATTGAATGAGAGAAGAGCTGATGCTGCCTTTATGAGCTGAAATACATTTCTAAAATATCACTATTGTTTTCTTGTTCTGTGCTAACTCTTGAAAAATTAATAGATTGTTGCACTAATATCTGACTGCTGGCCAAGCAACCAGAAAAAATTGTGACTCAGAATTGCTCACTGATATGGATTTTTAGAACAGCTAGTCCAAAAACCTGAGGAAATATCTTATTTGAAATGTAATTTTTAAAGGGGCTAAAGAGTATCTCTGTTTTGTTTATGCCACCAAACAGGAGTTAACATATAGGAAATTATTGAAATCAGAATGTCTTATGGAACACAATTTTACCCCTAATTCACTGAATTGCATTTCAAATTTTATACAGTTTATAGGCAGGTAAAACAGAGCCCCAGGCAGTCAGGAATCAGTACTTGAATGCCCTCATTAATGTGTGCTGGAAATGTGGACAGGGTGCAGAGCACAAGCTCTGTTTGTACATGCATAAATATAAATACTTGAATTTTATTTCCAACATTTTTTATGGCAAAAAGAGCAGGGAAGCACCAATTCCAACAATCTGGTCTTAAAATCCTAACTGTGGAGGGGAGGCACCATCAGCACTTTGCTCTGTCCCTCTGTCCCTCCCTCTGTCCATCCTGGTGTGCTCCCAGTGGATCTGGGTCTCAGCTCCTGTCTCTGCCCCATCCCTGCCTGGGCTGTGTCAATGAAAATTGATTTTTTTTTCCCTGCATGGATTTCTGGATTGATTTCTGGTTGGCAGTGGGCAGTGCCCAAGTTCATGACCCATTTCTCCCAGGCAGCCTCAGCAGGATCTGCAGTCCATCCCTGCAGGGTGGGCTGTGGGAACAGGAGAAATCACCCCCCAGGAAAGCTCAGGGTGGTCAGGAATTAACTCTGGGCAAGGGTTACTGCAGAGCAGCTCTGCTGCTCCAGGAAACCCTGGGAAATGGGACTGAGGGAGCTCCAGCTCTTGGGGCACACTGAAATGTGCTTTTCCTGAGGGTCCAAGGCCACGGCTTTTGTGGCTCTGGGGATTTGGTGAGGTTTTGGTGGGGTTACACCAAGAATGGTGCCTCACCTGCAGTTCCAGGGATGCAAGCACTGCAGAACCCCCCCAGAACCAAATGCTGACCTGTAAAGAAAGTTCTAATTCAGGAAGAAACTAAAACTAAAGGAGTAAACTCCTGTTTTTTATTTTTCCCAAACTACCTATTAGCCAGATTCCAAATGCAAATTACTAAAGGCAGGGAAGGTTTGTTATGTTGTGCATCAGCCCTTGACATGATTTTTACATCCACTTTTCTTTTGAAAGCAAGCTGAGTTCAGATAGGAAATTTATATGAGAATCCTGGCTGGAAAAGATTCCACACTGAAACATGACTTGCAGTGGGAAAGAAAAAAAATGCAAGAAATGTGAAAAGGGAATAATAAGAGTATTCAGTACTCCCATGCAATATGGTGATATAGAAGTGTATGTATTTTACCTGAAAGTTAAATAATTTCAAATGTTAAAGTAATCTCCTTTATGAAAGGGTAAGATCAGAGTGCAAAAGGTGAGAGGAACTTTCTCTGTAGGAAAGAAAGTCCAGGCACTGTCTGGGGCTTGCTGAGGGGTGAATTCATGTGCTATGAAATGCAAAGTCACAGGTGAGCTTTACTTTCAGCTTCAGTTCTTTGACCATTCTGGAAAGACATTTCTGAGTTGTGCTTTAATTATGAAGAAAATTGGGAATGATGGCTGTGGGGAAAAAGTCCAATCTGGAACATCAAAGTCCTTTCTTGCTAGGGTGGTCAGAAACTGCTCTGCAATTATTTATTTGAAGTGACCTAAATAACATTTAGGGACAAAAAATTGTGGGCCACTTGGATTTGGACTGTAACTTTGTTGAAGTTGAAATATTAATTGGGATATCTATTGGAGGTTTTGTTGCAGAGAGGCTGAATCTGCAGAAGTAGCAGGGTCTGGGGAAAAGAACTTTTTGACAGAGAGTAAAGTATACTGGAAGGAAGAAAAAGGAATAATTTTTGAGGTCAACATGGCTTGCTGTTCAAATCTGAAAATAAATTTAATTAGGACAGTATTGGAGTCAGTATATTGTTAAAGCCAGAACGAATTAAAATATAAACAGGGAAGAAAGACAGATAATGAAAGGATGAAAAATGAATGGGAAATGAAAAGAATGCTCCAATAGAGATTGTATCTCAAGTAATTAAAAGTACTGTTAATTCACAGGCATTCAACTTGTGAAATAAGGCCTTGTGCAGGGGAGAAATTTCA